ATCAAAGAATTGAGTAACACATCAATCAACAGGATCTAATTGATGTTTATAAAATGCTCTATTCAACAACAGACAAATCCACATATGCAGCTGGGAAATTCAAAGCCTTACTCTGTTGACAGCAACAGCAAAGTAGTTTTTGGTTCATTGATTTCCTCACGTTCAGTTTTGTTGATTTCTGCTCTTTATTATTTCCTTCCTTCTGCTTTGTGTTTGTTTTGGTCTTCTAGTACTTCCTTGCGTGAGAGCTTAGAGTATCAGTGTGAGAATTTTTTTCATTCCTGATGTAAATATTTAATGTGACAAATTTCCCTTTAGCTATATCCCACATATTTTGAAACGCATTCTTTTCATTTTCATTTGATTCTATGTATTTTTGAGACTTTCTCTTTGGCCCGTGGATTATTTAGAAGGGAGTTGCTTAATATCCTTGTATAACCAGATTTGCTGTTGTAGGGTTTACAGAGGGCTTTGAGGAGGTCCTCTTGCGTGCCCAGCTTGGGCTTCAGGCTTAGGTTTTTGGCTTTCCTTGCTTGAAGAATTGAGCAGAGAGCCTTACCCCCACAGTGAGTGTCCCAGCTTTAAACAAGCATTTGCGGACCGAGGAAGAGTGAGCAGCAACGCAGTTTATTGAGCAAGCGAAGTAAAAGCTTCCACAGCATGGAAGGGTGGAAGGGGACCGGAGAGGGCTGCCACTGTTGGTTAGGGCTGCCTGGGTTTATATCCCCAAGTAATTTTCAGTTGCTGAGTGTTTGCCCCCTAGTCCTGTGTGGGGAGAGGGCTTGTGACCACGAGTCATTTAATTTTTCCTTTTGAGTTGCCAAGGAGTTTTCCCCTAGTCCGGTGGCAATGAGCCACTGAATTTTCTCCTTCTGGTGGTGGTTTCCTAGTTTCTATTGTTCTTGCCAGCAATATTGGAATGTAGTTGAACAGGTAACAGGTACTTTGAACACAGCCTCCTGATACGGTTGAAGTAACTGTATCGACCTTTTTCCATGCTAGGGTTTCCAAAAAAGTTCCAAATTGGTCCAAAAGGTTTTATTCTCTCACTTGTGAGTGGAGATTTTCCTGTTTTTTAGTTATTGATTGTAAGCTTATTCCATTATGATCAGAGAACATCTCCTATAGAATTTCAATTATTTTGATTTTATTCTGATTTGCTTTATTTTATTTTATTATTTTATTTTGAGATGGAGTTTTGCTCTTGTTGTCCAGGCTGGAGTGCAATGGCACTATCTCGGCTCACCGCAACCTCCGCCTCCCGGGTTCGAGTGATTCTCCTCCCTCAGCCTCCCGAGTAGCTGGGATTACAGGCATGTGCCACCACGCCCGGCTAATTTTGTACTTTTAGTAGAGATGGGATTTCTCCATGTTGGTCAGGCTGGTCTCGAACTTCTAACCTCAGGTGATCTGCCCGCCTTGGTCTCTCAAAGTGCTAGGATTGCAGGTGTGAGCCACTGCGCCCGGCCTCTGGTTTGCTTTATTATCCAAAATATGGTCTATCTTGTTGAATTGGTGTCATAGGTATTGGATCAACATTAGACAACTTCAGAGAGGAAGTGTGAATGTCAAATGTTACAGGAAAGGAATGTCAAATGTTACAGGAAAGGAATGTCAAATGTTACAGTCAAGTGGCAAATAATGGGTAATTGGAGAGTTTAGCAAAACTTTCAGTGCGTATGGAAGTCAGACTGTGGGGTCCAGAGCGTAAAGGAATAAAGTTAGAAATTGCTCGCAAGCCTGAATTGAGGTGGAGAGAGTAAATTCTCTCCCATTGTGCCCCAGTCTATAAAGCCTATACAAGTCAGAGGGGCTCAGCGCTCTGGGACGGCATGGCAGGCGCAAATACTGTAGGGAGGTAGAGGCAGATAAGTGGGGAGAGGCCGAAAGGCTCAGACACACAAATGAGTTCAGAGCAAGACTGCCAGTAGAGGGATGGATGCAGTTTCTCTGACCATAAGGAAGTGTCCGCTGCGTTTATTTCCTGGGTCACCAGTAGGGTTCCTGAGAATTGATATAATACAGGGTAAGGCACAGGGGTGTGTCCTAACACAAACACACACACACCCCTTGGGCCCTAAAAGGAATGAGAAAGATCTCAGGGGACTGTCAAATATAGAGTATTAATTTGTGAGATCTCCCACCACAACCACCCCATTTCTGGGGACTCTGGCTGTGGAGAGTGATGGTGAATTTTGAAGGCAGGAAGCTTCTGTCTGTGGTCAATCAAGGGAAACCCCAAGGCTTGCAGAGACTTGAGGGCCAGAAACACCCATGCAGCTCACCTTCCCCTTCTTCCCCTTCACTTCTCATTTGTCTCTGAGTGTCTCAGACTACCAGAGGGATGGCTGGGCACGGTGGCTGACGCCTGTAATCCCAACATTTTGGGAGACTGAGGTTGGTGGATCATGAAGTCAGGATTTCGAGACCATCCTAGCCGAGATGGTTAAACCCCATCTCTACTAAAAATACAAAAAAAACCAAAAAAGGAATAGCTGGGCATGGTGGTGCAATCCTGTAATCCCAGTTACTCGGGAGGCTGAGGCAAGAGAATCACTTGAGCCCAGGAGGCAGAGGTTGCAGTGAGCTGAGATCATGCCACTGCACTGTAGCCTGGTGACAGAGCAAGCAATCCTCCCACCTTAGCCTCCTGAATGGCTGAGACTACAGGTGCACCAGTTTATTTTTGGGATAAACACACTCAGTTTATTTTTGTGTTTTTTGTAGAGAAAAGGTCTCACTCTGTTTCCCAAACTGGTCTTGACCTCATGGCCTCAAGTGATCCTTCTGCCTCAGCCTCCCAAGTAGCTGGGACTACAAGTGTGCACCACTGTGCCTGGCTAATTTTTGTATTTTTTGTAGAGACAGGGTCTCAATATGTTGGTCTTGAACCAGTCTGGTCTCAAACTGCTGGCCTTAAGTAATCCTCCTGCCTCAGCCTCCCAAAGTGCTGGAATTATAAACTGAGCCACTGTGCCTGGCCTCACACAGAATTTTCACAGCTTGGTTTGCGATTGCTGTTTCCTCCAGGGAATCCTGATATCTCCTCTTCCCAGTCCTTATCTCTCTCAGGGACCCAGCAGCCCGTTCCATCAACCTTTAGATCCCCCCAGGGACCCACGCACCCTTTTTCCAAAGCTTCCACTTCCTGTGGGTCCCCCGCGCCTGCTTGTTGCTTGTTATCTCTGGCTTTTAGCCAGCCTCCTATTTATATTCATTTCATTTTCCTGGTTGACTTATGTTCCAGTCAACTCTGAGCCTTTATCTTGTGCCTTGGGTGGGCGTGGGGATGGATCACAGCCCCAGGGAGAGAGATGCCTCCACCCACCCACCCACTCTGGCCACCCAGAGGCGCAGGCCCTTGTGATAAGAGAGGAGGAGCCCCAGGGGCAGCAGCTGCTAGGGTGTTGGTCCAACACCCAGGCTTTGCAGCTGCTGGCCCCAGGGGTGACTCCCCAGCAAACAGTGAAATCCCAGGTCAGGGAGAAGGCAAACTGGGCTTGGATCAGGCCAGCCCCTCAGGGGAACTGACTCCGTCTGAGAAAGCCCAGCTTTTGGCTCATTCTACTCCTGCGTGCAACCTAGACCTCCGCCTCCCATCTCAGAAAAATTCTGGGGTGATGGAGAGGTACAGAGTCCCCTAACGCTGCTTAGCTAGCCCCTGCTAAGAGCAAACCCTGCCTACAAAAAAACAAAAACAAACAAAAAAACCCAAAACCAAAACCCCAATTTCTCCAAAACCAACAGGTCCTGGCTCTTCGTCAGTCCCCCCAGGCTGGGGAGTCCTTGAACACCCATATCCTGTTTCCAGCACCAATGAGGGGCAGGTGTCTGAAGTCAGAAGTAGAATCCGGGTGTCTGTGTGGAGCCTGTGTGGAGCTGGGAAGCAGAGGCCATTGTCCCTTCAGCCCAATGGCCTCCTGCATCCCTGCCTGGGTCTGCACCAGAAGAGGCTGCCTCCCAGCTCTACAGTCCTCGAGAACTTTATGTCTCTGGGATGTAAAGATGCCCAGAGAGGCTGGTTTTGGGGTTCCCATTTTGCAGATGAGAAACCCCAAAGGCCCCGCTGGGCTGCGGTGGAGGTCTTGTGTCCCGCTCCATAGCCTCAGACTCTGCCCACCCCAGACCCCTGCCCCCAGTGGTGTCTGGAAGCAGGATGTGGGTGGCCAGGGACTCCTCAGGCTGTGGGGACTGAGGAGGAACCAGGACCCGGATATGGGTCTCTCACTGTTATTCCTGGCGGGAGACAAAGGAAGGAATATAGCTGCTAAGTCAGCAAATATGGCCATATGCCACTTCCCGCCCTCGCTGCCCACACCCCCACCCCACCCCACCTCCGCCCAGGGACTCAGGCACTCAGCTCCCTGCTCCCCAGCTGTCTCCCTCAGGGACCTCACCCTTCCAGGACCAAACTTCCCAGAAGGCTTCCAGGGAGCGGCCACCAGCCGTCCTCACTCCCTTCTTGGAGCCCAGGCATCCAGACTCACCCTCTTCTCAGGCTTTCGCAGTTTCCCGTTTCATCTGGCCTCCAGGAAGTTGGCATCATCTGCCTGGCACATGGCCCAAGGTGTGGCCTGAGGGGCCCAGATACGCCACTATATAGCCCTGCCCCACAGCTGGCCCTGCAGCTCCAGGGACCTGCAGGTGAGAAGGGCTGGGGACCCCTTTGGAAGTGGGACAGCAGGTCCCCTACTCTTGCCCCTGGCTGTAGGCCTCCTTGTCCTACCCCTAGACCCACTAGACAGCCAACTCCCCACCCCTGTCCCTGGCTCCTGCCCTCCCCATCCCACCTCCAGGCCCACTCCAGCCGGCCTCCCCTACACACACACTGGTCCTTGGATCCAGCCCACCTGGCCCCATTTGCCTGACTTCTTCCCCACCTCAGCTTTCCTGCTCCCAGGTGGTGCTTGTCCTGGGGGTGGGCCCTTCTGCCCAGGACAGTCTCCAGCAGAGGCAGCGGATCAGCCTTCTATGATCCCTTCTCTTTTCCTACTGCAGCCATGGGTCCCCTGTGGAGCTGGTGGACGCTCTGGGCTGGAGCAACCCTCCTGTGGGGTAAGTGTGACCGAGACCCTTGCCTGGGTCCACACCTTCCATGTGTGCCTCCTCCACATGTCGCCCCAGGCCAGCTGAGAGGGGAGAGAGGACCTTAGACTCTGTAGAGGAATGTGGTAGAATTCATCCATTCTTACCCTTTTCTGGATGGGAGCTGGTCAAAACCTTAGTCCCCAAACCCAAGTGTCCAAGAACTTTCTTGGTTTTCTTTTTTTTTTTTTTTTTGAGACGGAGTTTCGCTCTTGTTACCCAGGCTGGAGTGCAATGGCGCGATCTCGGCTCACCGCAACCTCCGCCTCCTGGGTTCAGGCAATTCTCCTGCCTCAGCCTCCTGAGTAGCTGGGATTACAGGCACGCACCACCATGCCCAGCTAATTTTTTGTATTTTTAGTAGTGATGGGGTTTCACCATGTTGACCAGGATGGTCTCGATCTCTTGACCTCGTGATCCACCCGCCTCGGCCTCCCAAAGTGCTGGGATTACAGGCTTGAGCCACCGCGCCAGGCAACTTTCTTGGTTTTCTGCAACTAAATTAAGGTTTGGACTCTGAGCCTCATTCTGCTGAGTTGATGGAAAATTTCACGAAAGTCATTCTTGGAGGGTGTTGTCCCCAGTGCTCCCAGGGATGTATCCAGAACTAAAATTTTACAGAAAGCCAAAGTACTGGGAGAAAGATGGGCTACGAGGGTCCTCTAGTCACCAGTCAGCATCCATCTAGGTGACGTCTGAAATGCCCATTGTCCCTGATCCCCTGGCCCCCTGGGATATGGAGGCCCCCTTTATATGGAAGGTGGTCATTCCATAACCCCCACATTTTCTTCAAGATTCCTTAGACCTCTTTCTCTCTCTTCGCAGCTCCAGGGGCTCTCTTCCTAGTTGGGGGTGGTCAGAAGCTCCTACTGCCATCTATTTCTAGCAGACAATTCATCCACACTTCCCAAATCCCCTTCTTCCCTTTATCCCCTTTTCACAACCCCTAAGTCCTGTTGTTGTTATGATTGTTATTATTGAGACAGAGTTTCGATCTCATAGCCCAGACTGGAGTGCAATGCCACAATCTCAGCTCATTGCAACCTCCACCTCCTAGGTTCAAGCGATTCTTCTGCCTCAGCCTCCCTAGTAGCTAGAATTACAGGCACCCTGCGACACCACGTTCAGCTAATTTTGTATTTTTAGTAGAGATGGGGTTTCACCACATTGCTCAGGCTGGTCTCGAATTCCTGACCTCAAGTGATCCACCCGCCTTGGCCTCCCAAAGTGCTGGGGTTGCAGGCAAGAGCCACTGTGCCTGGCCCCCGCAAGTCCTATTAAAACAAAAATCAGCTGGGTGCAGTGGGTCATGCCTGTAATCCTAGCACTTTGGGAGGCTGAGGCAGGTGGTTCACTTGAGCTCAGGAGTTCAAGACCAGCTTGGGCAACAAAGTGAGACCCTGCCTTTACAAAAAATCAAAAAAATGAGCCAGGCACATAGTGCGTGCCTTTGGTCCCAGCCATGTGGGAAGCTGAGATAGGAGGATCCCTTGAGCCCAGGAGGCTGAGGCTGCGGTGTATTGTGTTTGAGCCACTGCACTCCAGCTTGTAAAAAGATGGAAATCACACACTGGCAGCAGAGTACATCCACCTTGAGCCCCACGGTTTTTAAAAGAGTTGTGGGTTGGAGATTTCACATGAAAATTCAGATAGCCAGTTTCTCTTGAAAAACAGGAAGATCAGGTGGGCATGGTAGCTCATGCCTGTAATGTCAGCACTTTGGAAGGCTGTGGCAGGTGAATCACCTAAGGTCAGGAGTTCAAGACCAGCCTGGTCAACATGGTGAAACCCTGTCTCTACTAA